AAAATATATAAAATTATATTGTATGAAATAAGGCGAAAGAATGAACGCAATAATGACTATAATGTACAATCAAACATTCAAATAAGAAAAAATGCTAGTAGGACCCGGCTACTCCGCAGAAAAATAAGAGTGGCCAGAGGTAAGGGAAAGGGTAAAATAGATTACGGAATGGGAAAGTCAAAGACTGATCTTGTCAAAATAAAAAAGGGTAGAAAAAAAACAAGCTGGGGAGGTTGGGAATTCAGAAATTGGCAGAAGAATTGTACTTATAAAATATCAAAACCTTTATGTTCTTGTGCAGTTTTTGTTTGTTTATTGTGTAAAATACACAATTGTGGCACAAGGTCTAAAAGTGGGAAATTGGGTTGAGGCTGGTCGTCACTTACTATCCTATACCTAGCTAATCCGATTCACGATCCATTCATTCCTTACAATTGACACATTCATCACAAAACCTCATCCATCGCCAAGCAATCCACCGATATAATACCACATACTCTCAGGGGTGGAGGGACCTAAAAAAACGCGCCCCATGACATAAAAAATTAATTTCATGATTATAAAATACTATACATAAAAATTTGTACATGATATAAAATGAAAGGGAGCGGATGAGCCCCCCCCCAAAAAAAAACAAAACTAAAATATCAAAACAAACAAATTAAAGATAACTGATGTTAGTTGGACCTGTCCAGTCCTCAAAAAAGAGAGGACGCTGTATTCTACTCTACGACAGAATCAAGTGGCTCTCTGACTATGGGAGAGGGAAAGAAGATAATACATACGGACATGGGGAATAAATAAAGCTGACCCTGTCGAGATGAAAGGAGGCCAAAAAACAAACTGGAGAGGTTGGGAATCTCAACTGGGATCATAAACAAAGATGTAGCCGGGGGCAGGCCAGAAACAACGCTTACTTACATTAACTCGGTACACAAAGATTGTCTAGCCTGGGGAGGGCTCCACAGGAAACCACCCCGATGTGAATTAGGTTGACCTAAAAGAGAAAATCGAAGCTAGCCCCGTTCACACGAACCAAGCTCGCCTCAGTCACCCACCTTTCGCTGAAGACTGTTGAAACCAAGCGTTTTCTATCAGTTCTAATCTTCATCTTGAGCTGATACTCAAAGAATCGGACAAGATCCTGATGAGAAAGATGGTTGCCTTGCAAGACGTCCTCCTGTCGCGTCGTCCAAATCATTTTTTGTTTGTGTTTATGCTCATCATTTCCTGAATAGCTAAGCATTGAATTAAGCATGAAATAAACGATTTCTACGTCATCGGAAAAGTCCGCTACGCTTTCGCTTTCAAACACCTTTCATGTAGCAGAAACACGTTTTGGATGCTATTATGACATGAAATGATTTCCTTTGTATAGCACAAAATCAAAATGAGCATTTTTCGGATTTTAATGAACCGTAAGATATTGAACATTTTTCAACTCTTCTTTGATAGCTTATGATTAATTGTATATTTACTTCATATATATATATAATCAATTTAGGTATGTAATCCCGACAAAGTTATGTCATTGACATTTGGAAAAACGTTCATGAAAGTATGTTTCGAAAATAATATTTGATAATGCATTTCGCCTATATGGCTTCATCAGATGGATAACGGAAAATATGTTGTGTGCGTATGCATTTGTAAGATTATTTATTACGTAAAAGTACAAAACTGTGGTACAAGGCCGAAGGGGAAATGGAGAGAGGCTGGTCTTCATTAGCTATCCTAGTCTTAGTTAAACAGAATCGCGACCCATTCATTCATTACAATTTCCTCATTCACCACAAGAACTCGTCCATCACCACCTATCCTGCATATACCATAATACCTCCCATTTCATCGTTCATAAAGTTTGTTTGTATGAAAATTTCATGATTCATTAAATGATGTATTTGTAAGTGTTTAAAATAATTAAATCTTCTACTGTTTTTCCCAAGCTGGCGTTGCTCGAAACTAAACGAGAAAGAAAATGAGTGAGTTTAAAAAAATCGTTTATATTCTCTGCCTTAAGTGTCCGAATTTTGAGATGCAAATCCTTCAGAATAGGTAGAGAATAAAAACAATTCTTTCATTCTGAAGTCGATCCTGGTCAACAGCAACCAATAATATGACCCACACAACGGCAACCAACAATGTGACCCACACACCGGCGTTGCTTCTTCATACCACCGTGATTGCCATTTAGCTGACTCTTCACTCGTTAAGGCGTTGCTGGTTTGTCGCTAGTATCGTGATGATGAGCACGGTTTCACTTGGATTAGTTGGCGTTTGTCTGTTTACGAGCATTAACTTCTCTGCCACACTGTGTGTTTTTTTTTTGTTTTTTTTTTATCTCAGAGGGCTGATGAAACAAACTGAAGACGACAGGTCGAAAGACGGGAGCTACACAAAAAGTATTCTTTAGAATAAAGAATTAGGTCGATTTGGTTTATATATGATTTTCTGTATACAGCGGTTTTAAAACTTACTGTTATAATCAAATGACACTGGGATCCCCTTTTGGAGTTTATAGCCTGTGTTAGTCGTAATCTAAATTTCTAAGGCAAGTAAAATTAAAATTTTTCTTTATCACTTATATCCAAAGGAATCCAAATTAATGTCGGATATAACATTTTTCTTGACGAATATCACAGAAATTAAAACGTACGAACCCGTCAGGCTAATCTCTATCTTTGTAGGGACACTTTTCTTCTGGGTTACCGATTCAAACATGATGTTTGTCTTTTTTTTTTCCAAAACGATATTTAAATGTTAGTTCGTTGACCACCCGGGTTTCTTTATCGACAACGTATGTTTTTCTGTTTGACATCTTCGAGGATACAGTCATGGTCACGTTCTTATCAGCGGGAAGTGGGGAACGATGGGTAATCTTGGCTTTGCTCAATCTTACTGAATTTCGTCAAGTTAAATTTGGGTTCAATTCTCCTTGGAACCGCTCAACAATTATCATCCAGTCAGTAGACACTTTCCTCTTCTTTCTTTCTTTCTTTCTTTCTTTCTTTCTTTCTTTCTTTCTTTCCCTTTTTGTTTGATAGATGAGATCCCAGTGTCACAAATGTCCTCATTTTTTTTCTTCATCTGGGCGAAGTTTTTCTCGCTTCTTATTTTTTTTAAGTCGAGAAGCTTATTTCACATTTATGTGAATTAAGCTTCTCAACCCTAAATAAGTAGAAAATTGCAATAAAACTGATAAAGCCCTTTGTAGCTAATGTGGGATATTCCTTTTGTATTGAAATCCAAAATGTATCAATGAGTACCATGGAATGTTTTATTTTGAGCCGGCGATCGCTAGAGTAATGGCGGCCATTCTGCTTCTTAACATAACTGAAGTCCATTATTTGAAGGCACATTTATGAAGGGAATTCAAATTTAATCATAATTTTCTGTGTTTAATGACGGAAAATAATAGTCGATGTGTTCGTTGTGCACTTTCAGATGGCTAACCATAATAGGAATCGTTTCTTTTTAAGAATTATTTGAAAAAAAAAACAAAGGTCTAATATTCATTTATTCAAATACATTTGCTGTACCATTACTACACACACGCACACATACATATATATATATATATACTATGACAATATTTCCCAGTACAGTTGAGAGGATCACGTGGCACGGCGTTTGAGAATCACTGATTTAAGAGAAAGAAAAAAAAAAAAGATAAATAATTTTTTTTTTTTACTTTATGCTGACATTTAAACATTGGCTTTCTTTCTCAATGTTAACTTGAATTATCAAGTACAATGAAAATTTTAAAAATGTTTTTGTTATGGGATGACCTACTTTCTAGACTAGGATTCTATGTCGTCATAGGTTCAATTCCTTTAGGTTCCTGTTTGTAGTTTTTGAAAAGGTTAACTTTCTTTTTTTTCTTTTTTCTTTTACGATTTCTTCAATGTTTGGTGAAATGTGCGATAAGCAGACCCTCGTTTCTTCTTCAGTTGAGTGTAGTCTTTCCCGCTTATTATTTATAAGGTTGAGAAGCATAATTCAGATGAATAAGAAATAGAAAATTGCAATAAAACTGATAAATCCTTTTTAGCTAGTGTCCGATATTCTTTTTGTATTGAAATCCAAAATGTATCAATGGCTACCGTCGAGTTGTTTATTTTGAGCCCTCGATCACTAGAAATGGTGGCCAATTCATCTTCTTTACATAACTGAAGTCCAATATTAGAAGGGACCTTTATATAGGGATTTTGAATCCCATCATACTTTTCTGTGTTTAATGACGGAAAATAATAGTCGATGTTTTCGTTGAGCACTTTCAGATAATAGGGATTATTTCTATTTAAGTATTATTTGAAAAAAAAGTTTAATACTTATTTCTTTATTCAAATACTAACGCTGTACCATTACTACTCACACACACACACACACACACACACACACACACACACACACAATATGCCAATTGAGAATCACTTCACTAGTCTGTCAGTGTCGTAAAAAATGATAGCATATTCAGGTAAATTTACATATCTATAAAAAGTTATTTTCATAAATTAGTTGGTTAGTGTTTTCAAAAACTAACAGTTTAAGTAATTTTACAAATGTATTATAATTATGTTTGGCAGTTTAGTGACATATCAACATCTCTGTGGGTTATTTAATGCCGAAATCTAAATATTTTGCACGCAGCCTATTTATTTTTTGGAGATAACAATGGTTTTAGTGATATAAGTCTTACCACATAATTCATAGCGCTCGGTGGGAACGAAAGAGGTGGATTCATGCCTTTCCCAAGGATATTTGGACGTAAGTGAATATAACGAACCCAACTGGAATTGGAACTCGGCTCTCCGATTAACAATTCCGAGCCAATATCTATTACACCACACGCACATCCAAGCTTGCTGCAGCTGATATTCTCAAGCGGTCACCCATCTTGGTATTGGCCAGGCTCGACGTTGCTTAACTTGATTGTGACCGTACGGAAAGCAGTGTTTCAACGTGATTTAACCGTAAGCCATACCACTCACACAACCAAGCTTACAGTACCTAGTATTCCCAAGCGGTCACCCATCTAGGTGCTGACCAGGCACGACGTTGCTTAACTTCGGTGATTGTACAGAAATCGGTGTTTCCATGTGATATGATTGTAAACCTTACCACCCACACACCCACGCTTACAGCACCTGGTATTCACAAGTGGTCACTCATCTAGGTGCTGACGCGTCTCGACGTTGCTTAACTTCAATGATCATATGGAAACTGGTTTTTCAACGTGAAAATAAATATCGCCCAGTATTTTCTTGTTTATCTTCAATACTTCATGTGTATTAAATTAAACTAAAAGTAAATTTAAGGTAGCAACTGATCCCCTGCCTTTGTTCCTAAGTCATTAAAACAGTTATAATAAACTAAAATAACTTTTAATATATAGATCAAAGTTGACTGGAAAGCAAGAAGTCGGAAAAGAGTTCCACAAGCAAGAAGTGCGAGAGAAGAAGCTATTAAAATAGAACTTACGGTTGCATCTAGCTATATCAACTGTAAAATGATGAGACCTAACCGTCAATCTAGTACTGCGCTTCATAATGTCTAGATACCACAGAGCATAGTTCGTCAGAACAATTACCATGAAAGTATTTATAAAAAAAATATATATATATATATATATATATATATATATATATATATATATATATATATATATATATATATATATTTCTTTGGATGAGACGCAAAGGGTTTACTGAGTGCGAGAGAATACGAGGTAAAAGAAAAGGAATCACTATTAAGAAGACAGAAGACGACGATTGATATTACATTTAAATTTTTGAAAATCAAAGTTGACTGGGAAACAAGAAACCGGAAAGAGTTCCACAATCAAGAAGTGCGAGAGAAGAAACTGTTAACATAGAACTTACGGCTGCACCTAGCCATTTCAACGGTTAAAGGCTGATACATAGCCACCAATCTAGTACTGTGCTTATATTCCTAAAGTCTACATATATATATTGTCCGATTTTTTGTTTTTTGTTATTGTTGTTTAGCGGCATATCACCCCCCTATGGGTTATTTAATGCTGAAATAAGAGAAAGAGAAACAGATTAAGCTGGTAAGAACAGATACTACACTTTGACCGCATCCAAACGGCCGAGAATATGGCGACCATGATAAAAGCGGCATTTTTCAGACGCACAGTATCGAGAAACAGAAATCGAGCAAGGAAGTCGTCAAAAATCCAATTACCATAAATTAAATAAAATGACATCGTCTGCTGAATTATTTTAAAATTATTATTAAGATAAATGTTCCTAAGATGGGGATTTGGATAAAATGAAAGAAGTGGAGAGAGAGAGAGAGAGAATCAGATTAAGCTTAGAAGAACAGATACTACATTTTGATCTCAACCAGAAGACCGAGAAGTGATGGCGATAAAGAATTTTCAGACGTACAACATCGAGCCAAAAATTCAATTACCACAAATAAAATAAAATAAGATCGTCTACTGAATTATTTTAAAATTATTATTAAGAGAAATGTTCGTAAGACGGGGCTGGGGATTTGGCTAGAAATAAATAAATAAATAAAAGAACATAAAAGTGTTTAATGTCTTCTTCCTAATAAATAATGAATTATTTTGTTTTGACCGTATGGAAAGAGGGGGAGACTCTACTTATATTTCAAGATGAATGAAAAAAAAAAAAGAAAGAAGGGAAGATAGAATGGCCGTTTCATTGAAATGGAGAAAGTTATCAATTTTAAATATTTTCATTTGTACCCACTTCTTAAAATAACGACCAGCATTCATATTTATGACTGTTATTGCAATATTTTGTGAAAGGTGTTAAGCTCAAATATTTAATGATGTAATATGAGAATTTCTACAGATATTTTATTGTCTTAGAACTCGCCATGAGCTTATTCAATCATTAACTGAAGAATTAAGATTGATCAGAAAATTTAATTAGGAAAGCCGTGAAATTTTCATGGGTCTATTTAGTTTATAGAAAAGCCACAAAGAATTTACGTTACGCCAGTGCGAAAGTAAATGAAACCGAGATGCAATGACCAATAACATTATAGATTCTTCTTTGTACTTCGGCAACAATCCTTTATTTAAATGTTTTATTAACCTGAGCAGACGACGAATGTCTGCTAAGCTTCTTGGCGAATTTATTCTTGTGCTCAATAATGTTTTAATATCGGACGGAATCTTTAAATGAACTTTGCCGAAATCGTGTGCTACAATAACAATGAATTGCTTTTATTTGCTTTGACAAAAGTGAACAGCAAAACGGGCGGCGGCACCGGAGGCAGCGGCACCGGAGGCAGCGGCACCGGAGGCAGCGGCACCGGAGGCGGCGGTACCGGAAAGACAAAATGGCGTTTGCCCCGGGAAAGATTGCTACGCAAAATTCAAGAAAACAATAAGCGCGAGAAGAACAAGCGTGAGCAGCAACTGTACCAAATGCGTTTAATGGCAAACCCGAGTGCAAAGGATAAAATACAACCACTAATCGATGAGGAGAAGAAGGAGGAAGCATTAAATTTAGCAGAAAGGATAATGCGAAAGCAATTAGAAAAAATTCAAGTAAGGATAACTTATTTTGAATCTTTTGTATTTTTATTTTATTACATATTTGGCGGTCTACGGCCATATTATGTTGAAACATAGGTACTCATACGATTACCGAAGTTAAGCTTTGTTTTGTTTTACGTTATATCAACCTTAATGGGTTATTTAATGCCGACGAGATTTTTATTGCTGGTAATATTTTTTTTTTTTTTTAAATTTATTGCTGGTAATTATTTTTTACAAAATATTTCTGATATTAAAAGCTATTTTTACACTTTCATAATATTTTGACCCCATGTTTGGGGGTTAACTATTTATTCATCGCTGGGACCCTAACAGGTGCTATCAGGGTGGATCTGGGAACACGAATAATTAAGAGGTGGTTCCACGCTCCGCAAAACTTCCTGATCATAGGCGTTGCTATTGGACGTAGTTTATCGTCTTACCCAGGACGCTCGAAGTTAAGCAATGTCGAGTCTGATCAGTATCTAAGTTATTTTAATGCTATTATAACTGTGCCTGTCCTTCCCTTAGTTATTTCGCACGACCCTTACGTCCTGCTAATACCTCATAAATACGTGATTATGGTTGCGGGGACTGCGTAACATTTGCGCTTGGGTCACACATATGCGTATGGGCAAAGAAAGAAAAACCGATGTATGAACGTCTGTGCGATCAGTGACGTGTGACACACCCAACAGTGATGTTATTAAAATATGTGGATTCTAACGTCAGGCCATACAACAGTCATAACACAAATTATATGATTAGTTCGTATGTCAATACCTCATAAATAATGGCCTATTCCGTTTTGACCGCTGGTAAAAGACACTACCTGGTTTCGGTAAGAGAAAGAAAGAAAGAAGCGGGGAGAGATAATCAGATTCTGTTGATAAAGAACGGATACTACACTTTGATCATAGTCAAAAGGCCGAAATTGTATTTTCTTGCCGCCCCACGCTGGCAGGATACGACACAAGGTCAGTTTAAGGTGTGGAGCCCGAGCGCGTGCACTTGGCCAGGTTCAAAAACAGCCTAGCTGTTTGATCTTTCTAACTCTGCACAAGGCTGTCTTGAGCCCGACCACTATAAAGATGTTCGTACTTACTTACCCTAACTTATGGACTGATAAAAGAAAATGGGCATGCCTAAGAGACAATACGAACTTTAACTACGGTTTATATATTAAAAAAAATTAATGTCTGTAGATGAAACTAAAGTATTTGTATGCTTCTTAATTATACCATATAAAATCACACTCACCTATAATACACCAATATGCAGCCTTTAAATTCCATAAGATTCTATTTTAAATATTTTAAAAAAATTAGACAAACCTTTAGGGATATTTATAATCCGGATATTTGCATATATATATATATATATATATATATATATATATATATATATATATATATATATATATATATAAGAGAGAGAGAGAGAATTGTGTCCATAAAGTTCGTGTGCACTTTAAAAAATTTATAACTTTATTTGCGATAGAAATAATTTGTAAAAAGGATTAGAAACAAATAAATCTATATATTTTTTAGGTTTTATTGAAAATTTATTTAAGTTTCCACATGTCCTCCATCATTAGCAATACAAAGGGTAATACGATTTTGCAGTTCACGGAAAACATTTGCCAACTGATTTACAGTAATGCCTGGAATCACATTAGTTATTTTAACTATACCTAAAACTAGGTACATTAAACTTTATAACATTTTTTACAGATTATTTCTATCGCAAATACAAATAAAGTTATAAATTTTTTAAAGTGCACACGAAATTTATGGACACCCTGTATATAGAATTTTTGCAACACGCTGACGTGTTTTGATATCCCCACAGTATTTAGTATTATTGAAGTTATCGCTAACATTTTCTACGTTTTGTTCAATTTCGCAAACCAATCGATGAAATTTGAATAAGCTGCTTTGTTTGGAAAAATACTTTGACAAAAATCATACTTCGCGGTTTAATAATTTCTTTAATTTAATTTTATAGGACTTCATGGTAAAGAATAATTTTTAAGAAAATCTCTTTTTTTCCTTTTTCTTTTTAACAGCAACGAATTCTAGGGATTTCTTACTCTTGAGCATGCAACATACAACTTGGCATGTGCAAATATTTCTTTCTGGAGCCAAATTCCAATTTTTTGAAGCATTTGGCCTTGTGATTTATTTATAGTTTTCGCAAACGCAGAACGAAATGGAAACTGAATTTTTGTATATATAAAAAATGAAAGAAATGATATGCAAAAACAATATTGCATTTTTATTAAATAAGCAATTTTAAAAAAAATTTTAATCATTAAATTGTCTTTAAAATAGTGGGACTGTTTTTGTATGTTAAATAATAGAACTTTTAATTTTTCCAAAAATATTAATGAAAATCTATTATTCTAAGTCAGGCACCCTAGTAAATCCAACTGTACTTTGTACTCCTTTATATTATATGTAAATATATAATATATAGAGAAATGCTCAGACTGGTGTTTGAATAATGCATAGTGGAGTTTATTTTTCTCTTCCAAGGGGGAGGACGCGATTAAACCACCGGGGAAGATATCCTCCTTTTGCCTTAGTCAAGGCAGACACATCTAGGAGAAAGAAAACTGATATAACACCTGCGGCTTTTGATGGCATACAATGGTGTCAAACTTGCTCTTCTTTTTTGGTAAATATTTTGCTTAGAGTGGGATGGCTCTGTGCATTGCCTTTTTCCACTATAAAAGCTTCATGCACAGATATTGCTTAATATCTGGAGATCTTTTCTGCACTTATCATCTTAATGTAGAATTATGGCTGTCCGTAGCCTAAAGAGGCAACTTGCATTACAATGAAGGTACTTAATACCGTAACACCTATCCTGATCCCCACTGGATTGATGTACTCTACAAGACCAGCCATTGGTCCTGTCCTGGCTCAGTATTACAGGTTCAATCAAAGTCTCTGGTTCACAATGTCGATTCAATTCCACTTTCCAGCCATGTTGTGATCTTTTGGGGATCCTGGAGAGCAATTAACAAATCGTAGATCCTGGAAGATTCAGCTGGTCTACCTGCAAGTTCGTTGGGGCGAGAATTGGGCCAAGCAGAAAAATCAAATATAAACAAGTTGATTCGAGTCCAAAGAAAAATTGATGTATATGTATATAAGGAAGAAATTGGCACAAAAAGAATAATGCTTCTTTTACAAGAAAGTAGTGTATATGAAATAAAGTCCCGAAAAAATAAAAAAAAAACAAATATTGCAAATAATTCTGAAAAAAGTAGTTTTCAGGTTCACCCTTTTTGTTCTTAGTAGTTGCCGTAATTATTTTACTATCAGGATATACGGGGGGTTCACTGGTAGTATTGCGTCAATATTGCAGATAACTTGAGTGCGCTTCCTCCCTTATTACAGCAGCAAGCGGACGCTTTCACTCTCACTGCCTCTCTCTCTCTCTGGTCGACTTCGACTGACACGACTCCCACTATTTGTTTTCACACAAACACACACTTAAATAAACGCGGTGGTAGCGACAAAAACCCAGGTTGTTGGTAACTTAGAATACAACCTGATTACTGACCTCTCCCCCTTCATGATTAAATGAAGTTTTTCTTCCCAATTGGTATTCCATAGTTCATATAAACATTATTGTTTTGACATTTTATATTAATAATTCTGACGAAGCACAGATTCTCTGGACACAAACTTCACCCAGATTATTGTCTGCATCTATAAACAAAATTCTATATTACTATAATTATTAATATTTCAAGGGTGACCATTGCTCTCTGTCACAATACAGTCGAAGTCAATGGCAATAAGGGCTCTGGAACCAGATGTGAAAGGGTTTGGCTTGGCAGGTGTCCCAGGGCGCCGTAGCTTGGGCCCTGTCGTCATCATGCTACTGTGTGCAAACCACTCAATTTTGGGTGCTGAAATGTGCATACTTTACATGATGTTGAAGCAAATGTACAGCGACCTGAGAGAAGATCTGAATTGATTGCTAAGGAGCTTAAAAACATTGATATGAATGTTGTGGCCCTTTCGGAAACTAGATTCCTTGGGGAGGGTCATTTCTTGGAGAAATCTGGTGGCTATGTTTTTTTTTCTGGGGCGGAAGTTAAAGAAAGGATCTTGTGTTGCTTTTGCTATTAGGACATCAATAACTAGTCAGTTGGAAGAGTTTCCGACAGCTGTCAATGATAGAATGATCACGATGAGAGATCTTCTAGTATGTGGAAGATATGCAAACTTGATTGGTGTTCATGCACCAACCATGGTTTGCACAGATGAAGCAAAGGAAGCTTTTTATGACGAACTAAAGTCTCCTGTTAGGAAAGTAACTGTAGCCGACAAAATCTTTATTCTTGGAGATTTTAATGCACGGCTGTGTCGCGACTGTGAGCCATGGAAGGTTCTTGGTAAACATGGGATTGGAAAGTGCAGCAGCAATGGTCTGCTGTTGCTGCAAATGTGCACAGAACTGGATTTGTTTATTGATAGCACAATGCTTCAAAAGAAGAACAAATATAAGACAACATGGATGCATCCAGGATTAAAACAGTGGCACATGATTGACTATGTTCTTGTGAGGCGCCGTTATGTACAGGATCTATGTATTGTGCGTGTGATTCGTGGGGTTGAATGTTAGACTGATCATCGTCAGATAGGAACAAGAGTTAAGTTTGTTGTCCGTAAAAAGGAAAGGCGGGGAGAGGTATCACTTCCAAAGAGGCCGAATGTTAGCCGTCTGCAAGTTTCTGAGGTTAGACAGAATCTAGCCGAATTTTAAATTTTAAGACAGTAAAAGCTGATATGCAGTGAAATTTGCGAGCGATGAAGAACAAATGGCGGAGTAACAGAGCCGATGAAATACAGCTTGCGTCGGATATGAAGGATATTAAGGCTATATACAATCTACTTTGTGAAGTTTAAGGGCCTTCTACTTCGCCTGTTGCACCTTGAAAACTTCTTCGACATCCCGTTGAGATGCCGTGAACATTTTGACGAGCTTCTCAA